CACTTTCTCCTGCAGGTCTCTCCCTATATCCAGATAATGTACTACGGCTCCAAAGTAGTCTGATCTCCTACTTAGAGCATCCGCCACTACATTGTACTTGCCCTTCACTGGCTTGAGCTCAAAGTCGAATTCGTCTATCTWTGCGGCCCACCTAGTCAACTTAGGTGTCATCTTGGCCTGGGTCTTTAGCCATCTAAGCGTTTCATGGTCCGAATAGACTTTGAAGTGCCTCCCAAGCAGGTAATGCTTCCAATGGTCTAAAGCCTGCCTGAGAGCGTAGAGTTCTCTCTCGTACGTGGAGGTAGCGACCTTCTCACAGGGYATCCTCGCTGACATGAACTCTACGGGTCTATAGCCATTGCCGTCGTCTTGCTGCAACACRRTGCCTATCCCATACTGACTCGCGTCCGTGGTGACGACAAATGGCAAAGACGGATCTGCAACTTTGAGGACAGGATATTCTATTAACGCGCGCTTTAGCTTCTTGAGCGCAGACGTACAGTCTTTGTCCCATTGCCAGATTGCCTCTTTCTTCAGTAACCTGCGCAAGGGAGCGGCGATAGTAGAGAAGTTCCTTACGAACTTCCTATAGTAGTTAGCTAAGTCTAGGAACGACCGGAACTCTGTCAATGTGCGGGGTGTCGGCCAATCTCTGATCGCCGCGATCTTGCTGTCCTCTGGCTTAATGCCATCTCCGTCCAACACGTGGCCCAAGTATAAGACTTGCGTCGTGGCCCACTCGCACTTCTTCACGTTGATCTTGAAGTTAGCCTCTCTAAGCTTCTCCAAGACCTGCCTCAGATGACCCTGGTGCTCCTGGAGGGTCTTGCTAAAGACTAGGATATCATCTAAGTAGACTACTACAAATTTATCTAACCATGGTCTAAACAGGTCATTCATACAACGCTGAAAAGTAGCTGGTTGGTTAGTCCAAAGGGCATCACTATGAACTCATAATGCCCGTATCTCGTCCGGAACGCAGTCTTGTACTAGTCATCAGGATGGACCTCTATCTGATGATACCCGGATTTTAAGTCTATCTTAGAGAAATACTTGCAACCCTGCACCCGATCTAAAAGATCGTCTATCCTGGGCAGYGACTCAGCATTCTTTACGGTGATCGCATTTAATCCCCTATAGTCTATACACATTCTCAGCTCTCCTTCCTTCTTGGGAACAAACAAAACGGGTGCTCCAAAAGGAGACGAAGTGGGTCTGATCCAACCTTTCTCAAGGAGCTCGTCTAACTGTTTGCGAAGCTCCTCTAACTCTCTAGGGGACATCCTGTAGACTGCACCCTTAGGAGTTCTACTGCCAGGCGCTATCTCTATCCTGTGCTGGATGGGTCGCGACACTACTCCTCTCGGCGAATCAGTCAAGTCTTTGAAATCTTCCAGCAACTTGGCAATTTTTGGATCTGTGGAACTATCCTTTTCCTGGGCCTCAGTGACAGGTCTAATATAAACTACAAAGACTTGTTCCTCTAACTGCTCCTTTTTGACTAATCGCGCGAACGCGGGAGCACTGAGACAGCAATGTGCCAAGGTATTGTCTACACTAGACACATGGAACAAGCGGGCAGTCTTAGCCTCGCCTGACGGACTAGGGAGCTTGCACTCATGCTCTCTCAACTGGAGTGTGGCCCCTGCTGCCTCTCCCCAATCCATTCCTAACACTACGTCGAAAGGAAGGTCATCTTGCACGAGGAGAGTCAGGGAATGGAGAACTTTCTCCACCTTCCCATCCTTCTCTAGGTGAAAGTACGCGTGGACTCCCTCTATGTAGTCCTCAACGCGCATCGTGCGGTTGTCTGCGAGGACACTGACTATGGGGTCTACTAGCTTTTGGACCTTTAGTCCTAGCCTTAGCTTCTTCAGCGCCCTACGGCTAATGTAACTATGGGTAGCTCCTGAATCTATAAGGGCCCCTACCCTACTCCTAAACACCTCTACATCTACCAAAATCAGTTGTCCTTTACTCTCCTTCTTCATTTTGGCCCAGRCTGGCATCCTCTCCTTTAATTCTTCTGCCACACCTGTGAGGGACGTGCCTAAAGAGACGCTAACACAAGCAGTCTCTGGACAGCTATCTAGGCACGGGTCTGCAACCTCTGCCATAAGCTCATGTGGGTTGGGAGTGTCCTGTTCRCGCGCGCTCACTTCTCCACATGGCCTTGAAGTAGGGGCAGTTGCAACCCCTACTGGCGGCTGCCTTTTGACTGCTGGGCAGCCCAACGGGCCTGTCTATACTTTGGACAAAATTTGATAACGTGGGCCGGGTCACCACAGAATACGCACTGACCCATGTTCATGCGTTCCTGCCATAAGCGTTGGTCCAAGCCCAGATCTTCCCAGGGCCTGCCCTGCGGCAAGCCTGGGTGCCATCCTCCTTGAGGCGCCCTTCCACCTCCTCGTTGTGGGGACCGGTTACCCTGGCGATTTAACGGGGGACCTTGACCCCTACCTCCCACTTTGCGTTTTCCCTGTCCGCCACTGGATTCTACTTGGACTCCTACCTTACAGGTCTACAGTTCGAATCTCCCTACAGCCTACAACCTACGGCGACCTACTTACCACTGGCTATCGTGCAGGTCACGGGTTCAACTCCAAGGAACTGTGCAGATACTGTACACAGGTAAGCTGAGGTCAAGGGATCGACCCCTGGGATCTGCATCGGCTTTTGCCAAAGGTGAAAACTGTTTCAAGGCATAAAAAGGTAAAAATTTCTGAGAAAAAACATATGTGATAGAACTCGTTATTTCGAAGAACTTTTGGCTGAGGCACATTAGAAAACATGCTTATTAGATGTTTTGAAATAAAATATAAAGACCGGAAAAAAAAATCATCTGCACGTTCCTGTACTGCGGTACAAAGTATATCCTTGGTGGTTTACGGTTTTCTGTTCGGCCTATTCAACCGTGCATTGCCAAATGTGAAAATTGCTGTTTTTTTTTTTTTTTTTTCCAGTTTTTGCAGGAAGATGCATTCTCATTTGTCAGATTTGGTGAGCAGTGCAGCAAGGCCCTATGACACATTGTGGGTACTTGTGTTCACAGGCCACCAGGATGAACGGAGTAAAGTGTAATCAATGCGGTTGTACGTTTTAATCACTTGCGGTTGTGTTTTTTTGTTTTTTGTTTTTTTTCCCTCTCTCTCCGAAGGTCGTCTTCAGCGTGCTAGGGGAGCATCCCTGCCTACAAGACCTGCAGTTGTGCATTTTCAATCAATTGCAGTCGTTCTTGTACGAAGTTTTCTCTTGACGACGGTTTTGTCAGTGGATGGACTCTGGTGTTTGCACCCTGCACCTGTGTGCTTTTGAATATGTTCTGTACATGGTCGGTGATGGGTGTGTTGATGGGAGAAGATGCATAATGCATCCATTGTGTGGTTTCACTCCTCGTTGCAATTAAAAGTTTAATGAACTGATTGGCATTGGCACATTTGTGGGTGTCGTCGGGCAGGTTGTGGATATGCTTGTGTACAAAGGATCGGAGGAGCTGAGCAATGTCATGATCCAGGCAAAGCAGAGGCATCACATTATTTCGCAGTACGTCGTTGGTCCGCAAGGGATGGTGCAGACAAAGACGCTTGGGAAAGCCGTACGTGGCGAAGAAGGGCAGTCGGAATTCCTCAAAATGTTTTATGAGAGCAACAACTTTTGAGGGAAAGAAGATGTCCATTATTCCCCTTTTAGGGTGTGCGCCGACCGATGTACGCCGGCAGCTGCTGCTTATTGGATCCGAAGGGGTCGGTCGGATCGCTTTGGCTTAACCTGCTTGTGGGCAGTGGCTGTTTGCTCGTGTTGTGCTGTGGGGCTGTGTGATGACTGACAACAGGCACATCTTCACATGCACTTGGCATCGCCGGATGGATGAACGTGTGGTAGAATGAATGGTTGGTTGCTTTGTGACTGATTGTCCTCTTTCGATGCACGTACTGTTTGGAAAATAGGGGAGTATAGGAACACTGACTGATTGAGTGGTTGGTTGATTGATCAGTTGATTGAGGCATGGATTGATTGATTGATGCATGGATCAATTTTGATTGATTCATTGCTTGATTGATTGACTGGCTGATTGATTGATTGATTGACTGGCTGATTGAATGATTGGTTGATTGATTGACTGACTGATTGTTTGATTGATTCATTTGCTCGATTGACTGGCTGATTGATCAAAATGATTGATGCATGGATGCATTGATTGACTGGGTGGTTGGTTGATTGATCGATGTTCTGACAGGTCGCGTGATTGATTGATTAATCAATCGACGCAGATGATTGTATTAGTGAAAAATCACTAGAGATTGGTTCAGTTCGGGTCTGCAAAACGAAAGAAAACTTTGGAGTCTTATCGGCAGGCAGGCATGCAGGACTCGTGTTCTACTTTCGAACGAGGTTAATAACTTAGTACTGTATTCAATTGCCGGGGGGGGGGGACGGGGGGCAGGGGGGCACTATTGTTATGATCCCTGCCAAAAGCTGTGAATTGGGGGAAAAAAAAAAAAAAAAAAAAAAAAAAAAAAAAAAAAAAAGGCTTTTGAGTTGAGCCACAGCCACAGGCAGCCACTTGAAATTCTGCTCTCTTGTGTGTACCCACTCGGCAGAACATCAGCCTGCAGCAGCAGTGCCCTTTGTTATGCCTGAACGAAACAGGCACACACGTTTCCACACTGGTCTTGGGTTCTGGTTGCTGTTGTTTTTTTCACTACTGATCCTGTGTGTGCTTAGGATTGGAAAATGCTGTCGAATTGACAAATCACGAAGTGCATCTGAATTGTCATCGCGTATCATCTTCCCTCGGAACATGACATGACTCCCCCTTACCATGACCGTAGTTGGACTTCCTACAGGATGTGTGTGTATGTCATAGTTGCGGCGCACCTCGGTGTGCAGATTTGCGCACGCATTCCGCACCACGCGCACCGAAGCGCACCGCACTGGAAAAATCAGGTCCAAAAAAAGAAAAAGCAAAAAAAGTAGGGTTCTTGTAATTTCTTAGGGGCCCAACTCAGCAAAAATGTTAAACTCACTGCGTAAGCGAGGAAACTGGCCGCGCCCCCGGCCCGGATTTTGGGGGGGGGGCAAGGGCTGCTGAATTCCGATTTCCGCAGACCCGTCCCCAAAAAGTTTCAAAATGGCGAAGCATGAAATAGGGCTCATTCCAACTTTTTTTTTAGGTGGGATATGGAAACTGCCCTTCCCACTCCATTCTGCAAATCCCACACAGTGGTGAGGAAGATTCACAAGAAGGGGTTAGTTCCACAATAGCGACCTGCCCCGTGAAGCTTCACAGAAGTCACAAAAGTTGCGTTTTCCATGACCAGCCGACCACCAATATATGCTGAAGATTGGCGTTCAGGTCTGCATGTTGGCAGTTATGGGTTAGAATGAAGATGCCTAGCTCTCTCGTTTTTTTGTCTTGTTTTCTTATGAATACGTACAGTGGGGCCTGCTCCACTACTCACCACATGCACAAAAACATAGCATATGGCGGTGTATGGTTCCATGTTTTAGCAGAAGATTCATTCTACTAATATTATGTACATTTGGTGAGTGGTGGAGAGAGGCCCTGAGAATCACGTGGAGACACGAACAGGGTCTAGCTGAGTTGGTGACCCATAACTGCCGAGCTACAGCCCTGAACTCAAATCCACAGCATATGCTGGTGGTCTGCCCCCACCTCTTCCGCACATGACGAGGCCATCCTTCTTGTTGAAGCAGTGGCCCTCAACGACTCCACGCATATCGTAGGAGCCATTCAAGGTCCTTGCAGGGGACCCTTCGTTCTCTCTCTCTCTCTCTCTCTGGGGCTTTTTTTTTTTTTTTTTTTTTTTTTTTTTTTAATGCACAGGGCGCACCTCCCTCAGCACGTGCACCGCGCACAGTGGATGGACCGCACAGTGCATGGCGCACAGTCCGCGCGCTGTCATTCCAGCGCACAGTGCAGTGCGCACCGCCCCGCCCCGCACTGCGCACTGGTGCACCGCAACTATGTTGTATATTCATGATGATGGGGCATGACCTTTGGGGAAAGAACTAGGTTGGTTTGTCAGTCTTATGCACTAAATAATGTTGCACGCAGTCACGACGACACTGAGTGACATCGACCGCAGCGGCTCGGCATGCTCTGTGCTAAGTTCACTTCAGTGCTTAGCCTGCAGTCAGCTGCAACCAAGTTAGTTGTTCAAAACTGAGCTTCTTCAGCTGCAGTTAAGTCTGTCAAGCTAAGTGCAACCCTCATTCGAACGCCTTCTCAGCCCTCAGTTCACCGCAGTGCCGAGCAAAATCAGCTGTAGCTAACTGCAACTGTGGTGGTAGCTGTGGAACGCTGAGCTTCGTGAACTCGAGCGCGAAGTCAGCAGAGTCAAACCACCAGTACCTTTCCGCGCTTGAAAATCTCTCCCGCGCCGGGTTACGCAGAAGCCAAGCGAGATAGGGCCACCGTTGATAAGTTTCATCGGCGGCCCCTTTTTCCGTTTTGGGCCTTTTTTTCTGCCCGGCGCCGCCCACAGCTTATGAATGGGAAAGGTACTGGTGGTTTAACAGCCACTACCTTTCAGTTCACTGCAGCATTTTTTTACAGTAGGAACTGCACCGACTCTTTGGTAAGTTGACTTCCAAATTACAGTGCATGAACTGGAGTGACTCTGCAGCAAGTTAAACCGCAATGCCGATGTGACACTGAGCCACGTAACTGCAGTGAATCCTTATGTCCAACTGCAGTAACTGTGCACACAGTTAACTCATGGTGCTGGAGATAAAACACCAGTTTGCACATTTCAGTGCATGAACTGCAGTAACTCTGCAGCAAGTTAACCGCGATGCGGATGTGACACTCAGCCACATAACTGCAGTGACTCCTTATGCCCAACTGCAGTAACTCTGCACACAGTGACTCATGGTGTTAACTGCTGGGGTGCTGAGATAAAGCACCAGCTTCTGCATTACAGTGCATGAACTGCAGTAACTCTGCAGCGAAGTTAACCTCACTGCCGATGTGACACTGAGCCACATAACTGCAGTGACCCCTTATGTCAACTGCAGTAACTCTGCACACAGTTAACTCATTGTGTTGACTGTGGCACCGAGATAAACCAGCAGTATTTGTGACAGTTCCCACAGGATATTGTCTGGTGCATATGGAAGGGGTTGCAGAATCACTGTGTACTCTGCTGGCCGTTGGGCCATGAAGGGCATCCACAGCGAAAAGGGTGTTCAGCAATTGTCAACACCCTTGACAGTAGTGGAGCTTCGGCTAAAGTGGTAAGTTCCACATCGATGGCAATCCTCTACAGTCTCTCTAAGTGTCACGGTTCAGGCAGGTGCTTTCTCTGGTGATGATCAGTGATCACGGCTATGTGAAAAAACTCAGCATAAGGTGGCACTGTGCAGCTCATGACAGCTTCTCAGACGAACGCAGACTTGCTGCACTTTGTGCTTCCGAGGCTCACAAAAGCCTGGGAGGCTCACAATAGTCTCCTTTTCCGCCGGGAAGTGGCCGGAGATACTTCCTAGAAGTGCCCCATTGGTCGTTCTATTCCACCAGTGCCACCTCCGTAGGAGGGAGCCTGGATTAGACGTTGGCTTTTCATAAGCAGCCAGCCTTCCATGCAGTGCACGTGGGTGAAGCTTAGCAGGGCAGGCCATCGTTCTGCTGTATGTTTTTTCAAACTTTGAAGGAAATTGAATCAGACACAAATGAGAAGTAGATCATAGGTGGCTCCAAGCCTCATTTTTCCGTTGTATTGGGTTTTGCCCCCCCCCCCGGGGGCAGGCCTGCTGGTGGCAGCCATATGCATCACACCGTGATTTTTTTGATGCGTAAAACAACTGAAAACCAAAAAGGATTTTAAAACATATATATATATGTGCCGGGCAACTCTGTTTGACGATAGTCCGGCCGGGGCTGAACAAGACGGGCTGGACGGCCGACGTTCAGGACCCCCCTGGATGGCGTTCGGCTGAACGGTGGATTGATTTATTTATTTTTAAACCACCACTACCTCCGAGCCCGTTTTTGCCAACCGTGATTTTCACTGCGCACTGAGTTTTGCTGAGCCTGGGTTCCGCTTTGTTTTTTTTTTTTTATATCCTGAAAAAAAAAAAAAAAAAAAAAAAAAAGCACGGCCAGACTTTCAAAAACGACCCATTTGCAGCACAAAAAATAAAAGAAAAGAAAACAAACACCCCTGGGGACGTGATACCAGGTAGATAGATACCTAGCCCAAAGTCGTTATGTCAGTGTGCCCTCAGTGAGGGTGTTACGGCAAGGGTGTCAAGTCCACGGAAGAAGGAAAAGGGCAAACCAAATTGAAACTGAACTTGGGTCGGGAAAGCAGGTTCATACATTCTGCAAAGCAATAGAGCGGGCATGCTGTCCTCCACGAAGTGTCAGCTGCGCCGTCCCTCTCTGGCACCATAACTGAAAAAAGAAAGAAAGAAAAGAAGAAACACAAACAATGAAACCTGAAACTGGCCGCTATAGCGGTTAGATACGAACGTGTGAGTTTTGGTGTGAGCACAACTTGGTGCACGGCCTTCCCCGACATGATCTTTTGTTTTTCTTTTTGTTTTTAAAAGGGGCCCTCGAGGCCCAATTGCTGAGCCTTGTCGAACCCCCGCAAACTTCGGAAAAAGTGGGAAAACGGCCACTTTTCCCATTTTTGCCAACACTGGTGGAGGTAGTGGTGGTTTAGGTGTTTTTTTTCTGCGGGGGGGGGATCTGCAAGGACGTCAAGCTTTATATACATGTATATTTAGATTAACAAGTGGACGTGCCGCAGCCATGCTGCGGCAGAGGAGAGGGACGAACAGGGAGGCGGGGCTGTTGTTGATACACAGCTCTGGTTTTTTATTATTATTATTATTTTTGTCGTCAAATTCGCTATACACTCAAAAAAAAAAGATGACTGTGGCAGACTGTTTCCGGGTGATCAGGACTCAGGAGGGTGTGTGTGTGTGTGTGAGAGAGAGATCGTCTCTCTCTCTCTCTCTCTCTCTCTCTCTCTCTCTCTCTCTCTCTCTCTCTCTCTCCCTGTGTGTGTGTGTGTGTGTGTGTGTGTGAGACACACACACACACACACACACACACACACATGCATGCGCCCAGGCAGGGCCGCTTCAACAGTTTCACATGTGCATGAACTGAGCAGCCTTCGAACGTGCAAAATGATAAGGAGAGTATGGAGCAAGGGGCTGTGAGATGCAACCCCATTCCGAATCCCCTCCCCCTCCTTCTCCCCCTCCTTCTCCCACTCCTCCTCCCGCTCCTCCCACTCCCCCTACTCCTCCTGCTCCTCAGCCAAACAACGTCACAAAGATTCCGCCATAGCCCCGCTCCCGCTCCTTCTCCCGCTCCTACTCCCTCTCCTCCTCCCTCTCCTTCTCTCGCTCCCTCTCTTGCTTCTCCTCCCGCTCCTCCTGCTGCTCGTCCTTCTTCTGCTGCTTCTTTTGCTTTTCCCCCCATTCCTCCTCCTGCTCCTCCCGCTCCTCTTCCCGCGCCATAGCCCCACTCCAGCTCCTTCCCCGCTCCTTCTCCCACGCCTCCTCCTGCTCCTCCCGCTCCTCCTCCTCCTCCCCCTCCTCCCCCTCCCGCTCCTCCTCTGCCAAACAACGTGACAAACATCCCGCCATAGCCCCGCTCCCGCTCGTTCTCGTGCTGCTCCTCCCTCTCCTCCTCCTTCTCCTTCTCCCGCTCTCCCTCCTGCTGCTTCTTCTCCCGCTGCTTCCTGCTCTTTCCCACATTCCTCCTCCCGCTCGTCCTCGTGCTCCTCCCGCTTCTTCTCCTCCACCTATATCTCTTCCCCCTCCTCCGCCTCTCACGCGTTCGTTAATCCCCTCCCCGTTTCCCCTCCCGCTCCTCCTCCCGCTCGTTCTACCGTCCCTCCTCCCGCGCCTCCTCCGCCCCTTCCCGTTTCTCCCCTCCCGCTCCTCCTCCCGCTCGTTCTATCGCCCCTCCTCCCGCGCCTCCTCCGCCCCTTCTCGTTTCTCCTCGTGCTCCGTCTCCCACTCCTAACCCCCTCCCCGTTTACCCTGGCGCTCCTCCTCTCGCTCTCCCTCCTGCTGCTTCTCCTTCTCCCGCTGCTTCCCTTGTTTTTTCCCCCGTTCCTCCTCCCGCTCCTTCTCCCGCTCGTCCTTCTCCCGCTCTCCCTCCTGCTGCTTCTCCTTCTCCCGCTGCTTCCTGCTCTTTCCCCCATTCCTCCTCCCGCTCCTCCCGCTCGTCCTCGTGCTCCTCCCGGTTCTCCTCCTCCACATATATCTCCTCCCCCTCCTTCGCCTCCCGCGCATTCGTTAACCCCCTCCCCGTTTCCCCTCCCGCTCCTCCTCCCGCTCCTTCTCCCGCCCCTCCTCCCACGCCTCCTCCGCCCCCCTTTTTTCCTCGAGCTCCTTCTCCCGCTCCTAACCCCCTTCCCGTTTCCCCTGCCGCTCCTCCTTCTCCAGCTCCTCCTCCCGCGGCTCCTCCGCCCCTTCGCATTTCCCCTCTCGCTCCTTCTCCCGCACCTGCTCCCGCTCCTCCTCCCACTCGTCCTTTTCCCGATCCTTTTCCCATCCCTCCTCCCGCTCCTCC